GGCGAGCACAGCCCCGGCCGACGGGTGGACTGCGGGCACCAGGCGGGCCTGGGTCGTCGCTCGCAGGTGTGGAAGAGGCGAAGCTGGTGGAAGGAGAAGTCTCTAAGTTAAATAAAGTCAGTTTTCGTACTGTTAATGTAGTTTAACATTTGACATAGCTTTGAAATCCAGCTTTAGGCTAGCCTTGCTGAAGGAGGAGCAGTGCTGGTCCGCACCGCAGCAGCCATGCAGCGGCTGTAAACCCGAGTTGTCTGTTCCTGTGCTCCCTTTTGCTGTAGGAAGAACAGCCCTGCCTCAGTCAGGCTTCTTCCACATGAAGTTCTTAATACAACCATAATAATAATTAAAACCACACTGCAAGTTCTTGTCTTCTTCGGGTATCAGTGTCCTTTTCTCTCTCCAGATGGTTGCATGGTGCCACATTTGAATCATAGCATCATAAAGCAGGGACATCATCAACTAGATCAGGTTGCTCAAAGCCCCATCCAGCCTGGGGAAAAACTTACATGGACGGTGCATCCATAACTTCTCTGGGCAATCATTTGGGTATAGCCCGTAACATTGCTGGGTACTGCTGGACTTTGAGTATGCCTCTGCAGTTTCCTTCCTTGGGGTATTGTCAGTTTCCTGATAAGTACAGTCTTATGGATGCTATGAAAGTTTAGGTTTAGTTGAATGACTTGCAGTATCCAGTATTTCAGCTAGAATAATCTAATTGCTACCCTAATTACACAGTGAAACTCTTGACAGGGCATGACTAACAACCAGACTATTAGTAACCTACTTATTAATACATTTAGTTGATGTTCTGTACCTAAGCAAAATCAAGTTTACATTTAATTGTAACATAAGTGTAATTCATACCTAGCTGGAAAAGGTTGTTTTGATGTTTCTCTGGTCTTTCTCTTTTTAGGACCAGATCAGTGGCACAAAAATTACCCAATTGCCAAAGGACGCCATCAGTCACCTATTGAAATCAATAACAAAGAAGTGCATTACGATCCCTCCCTGCTACCATGGTTTGCTAGTTATGATCCTGGTGCAGCGAAGACCATCCTCAACAATGGGAAAACCTGCAGAGTTGTATTTGATGATTCATTCGATAGATCAGGTTAGTTTTGTTTTCATCTCAAACTTTCATTATATATCAGTGGCTATTTCTGAAGCTGGTTGGAGAACAGAGTGTGCTCTGAATGTTTATGGCTTTCAGAAGGTCTCTCTGTATTACCCATATGTGAAGTGCAGGCTTCTGTGACTCCAGTGCCCTGAAAAACTGGTGGGGAAAGCCTGGGACCACTTTTAAAGGACATAGGTAAAATTCTAGAGATTGGAGAGAGCTGCAAAGAAGCTTGGTGCAGGGTGAATTAAGGTGTAAGGTACATTTCTGAACTTCCAAAAGTCATTGCAATTGTGTTGCTTCCCAGGACCAAGGAGTCCAGGTACTGTCTATGGACCAAATTCCATTTAAGCCCAGCAGAACACCTTTAACTGTGCATCTGGCTGAAATTACAGTATTTGAAAACTGCACCCTTGTAATTTCTGATAGATGAAGTAATGAACCATATGTTGCCACATAGTCACGGTATTTAATGAGTTAAAACTCCCTTTGGCATTCATGAGAGTTTTTCTTAATGAATTTTCCTAATGAATAGGGGTGAAAATATTCAGTGTTTCAGATTTAACGTCCAAAATCTTCTATCTACTCGTAGATGTGACAACAATCAATGCGGTGCATATATAATGCATAGCTTTTAAGGGTTAGTGGGGTATATATTTTGAAGAGATATGTCTGTTCTGTTTAACAGGTGCTAGATATAGTTTATGTTGGCAGAATCACCGACATTTCATGTTAATACTGTTGGCTATATTTCAAAGGAAAAAGCATTACTGAAAGAAGCATGAAATGGCATTAGTACTGTGATAAATAGGAAAAATCAAATGCATACCTCACTCTTTATTCTTGTATCAAGGTCAACAAAGTTGTGTTGTTATTTATAGTACCTGGGATGGTAAAGAAAATGAAATGTCAATTTCAGTAAAATAGTTAAAGTCTGTCTTACATAGTGTGCAGATTTATTTCTTTACATTAAAAGTTCCAATTTCTATTACAGTATAACTAGGATTGACAGCTATAATCACTAGGAGGAATTTTACTCATAGTTTGGTCTTAAATATGTATATGCATGGATTTATTTTAATGGGTTTTTAATTAATGACTTGGGTTTCTTGAAAATAGAAGATCAATATGTTTGTAAGCTGGACTGTTAATACAGTAACAAAACTCAAAAATGACTATGCAGTGAAGACTTTGATTACTTTTTGAGCAAAGTGGGAATCTTTAATGTTGTTTGAATAAAAATACTAATGTCAGATAACATGATACACCAGTAAGGAGGTATAGCTATGGCTACATGGAAGACCTCCATGACCACTACTTACCATTTTTTACCATCTCTTGTATTCTTTTGGGACAGCATCAAATACATCAGTGGTTGCATCTTCTGCATGAATGTCAAATTCTTGTTAGAATTACTCAGATTTTGCATAGGAGGGAGTATCCAGGCACTACTATCTACAGCATGGATCTAACACTGGCCACAAAGAACGGAAGGTTTTGGAATGTTCTGATTTTTTTCAGATTAACTTCTCAGTAACTGTTGTGTTCTCAGAAATAAAAAATGACTCACTGGAAAAAAGGTGTATTTCCCAGCTCTTTGAAGGCGAGAAACATTTAGTGTTTATTGTTATGTCTCCTTTGTTATACCATTGCCTGCAGAGTCTGTGGGAGGTGTTCCTTCTCTAACATAATGCTAATTGCAGGGCTAATTCCACTGTACATACTCCTACTGACTTAAGCATTTTTTAGGGTTTTTAAGATATGTACAGAGATTTATTTTTTTGTGTAGAGGAACAACCAGCTGTGTAATACATACACACGTACTAGCAATCATATAGGAATGGAGCTTTTATTTGTTTGGAACAAAGACATTTGGTCTGTCTGTCTGTCTGTCTCTCTCCCTCTCCCTCTATCTCTATCTCTATCTCTGTCTCTGTCTCTATCTCTATCTCTATCTCTATCATCTCTATCTCTATCTCTATGTTCCTCTATCTGAATTATTTCTGAGTTAACCAGAAAACTAAGGGCATCCTTTGTTTTCCTTACTTTTTCAGTTAGAGTGGTGATATCCATATCTGTAGTTCTGTCTAAATTTTCATTAGTGGTAGATGAAATATATTGCTGAATATATTGCAAAGGTGAGTGATAAAACAAATTACTTTGGATGTCTCCAAGTTTTACTTCTGTTGTGTCTTCTCTGCCAGGAATACTTTGAACATTCACCATTGGGACAGTTTCTCAAATGATTAGAGAGAACTTTCCGGGTAGAGTGCCATTCAATGTGATTCACATTATGTTGAAAAAGGTCTTACTATTATTATCTTAGGAGTTAGTCTAGTGGAAGGAATTGGAGATTTTTTCTACAGCTATTTATAAAGTCTGGTTGACTTTAAGAATCTGCTATGCAATTGAAGGCTTTAGTGACAGATACTTGCTTTAGGAGCTGTGTCCTGCCTCTGCTGCCTGTCCATACAAGATAATAGATTGTTGTGGACTCAGTTCCCTGCTTGACCATACCTATGTGGAAGAACTGTAAGCACTGTAAGATCATTTCGGGTGGAGGCTGGAGTCTCAAAGTCCAGGAAAGAACGGGGAGCTGAAATCAAAACCTCTTAGGTGGCTGTGCCAAATAAAAACCATACTAGAATTTAGTTACTTCGTCAGCCTACCACTGCTATGGTTTTCAGCCTGAATGGCAACTCAGATACACTTTTAGATCCAGCAGTGACTCTGGTTTTGTTTTGAATTAGGGCTGCAATCTTACTTCTGCTAACAGAGTCCATTTGCTTTTAAAATTCAAAAAATACTCATGTATTTGAGTATGTAGAATTGTCCTGAGAGCACCTAACGGGTGGGACCATTGTCATGATGCTGTGTGAGATATATAGCTTGCAACTTTCTTACAATTAATGACTCATTGGCTTTCTTTATTATACTTTGGTTAGATGACTAGATCAAGATGTTCAAGCATTTAATAAGCAGTAAAGATATGTAAATCTTGTACTGGTACCCAGACACAGCAACTAAGGAGAGATACTCTAAGGCTATGTCAAATGGATGTCTTCTTTCATCTTCTTTGTTGTTTTTGTTGTCTCCTTGGCACTTTCTGTGGAAGTTCATCAGCCAGATTCCTACTTTTACTGACTTTCTGATGGATGACATTTCAGGGCTTGGAGTACCTCAGGGCAGGCACACTTTCTTACAAGGTTACTTTGATGCTGTCTGCATAATCTTTTATTTTCTTATCAAACGAATGTGTGCCTTTGGAAGTGGAGGATGCAAAAAAAATTTAAAGTGACAGTTACTGTTGCTTATCCATCCCTGTTAGCATGACTCATGCTGGTGGACAGCATTTCCTAGAGTATCACTTTGTGGGAAATGTCATTTATCTTTGCAGATAAGATTTTGATTAGCAGCTTGTGATGAATAAACATTTATTTGTTGGCTGGTTCTAAAACAATGAGGACAAAACCCATAAACTTTAATTAAAACTAGAAGTCTGTCTATAGACACACAGCTTTTGGTTGATTCCTACAAAATGTTACTTAACTTTTTGTGTACTGAATTTACCCTGGAAGAAGCCAATATCCATTATGAGAATAGCACAGCTAAATACCAGTGCTTGTGTAGCTGCAGTACGATGGCTATGCTGCATACTGCAAGAGGCAGCAAAGTTAAATTCTTCAGTGTTTAAAACGTTTATTATATGTACTGTCTCGTGAAGGTACTGAGAGTTAATATGAGTACTGAAGAGCATGGGTACAGAGAATTTAGGAGGTACATTTCTGTTAACTTTGAATTTCCATTGTTAGAGATAAAAATGCTCGAACAGTCAAGGGTTCAAGCTATGCAGTTAGTTACTCAGTGCACTGTCAGTTTTCTACCTCTGGAGATGGCGATTTCAGCCCTGCCACAGGTCACAAAGTGGGTAGAACATTTCTCCAATCCGGAAAGGCTGAGAGAGTTGGGGTTGTTCACCCAGGAGAAGAGAAGACTCCGGGGAGACCTTAGAGCAGCCTTCCAGTACCTAAAGGGAGCCTGCAAGAAAGATGGGGAGAGACTTTTTAGCAGGGCCTGTTGTGATAGGATGAGGGGTAATGGTTTTACACTAAAAGAAGGGAGATTGAGGCTGGATGTGAGGAAAAGCTTTTTAGAATGAGAGTGGTAAAACACTGACACATGTTGTCCAGAAAGGTTGTGGATGCACCATTCCTGGAGACATTTGAGGCCAGGCTGGATGTGGTTCTGGGCAATCTGATCTACTTGGTGATGTCCCTGCGCATTGCAGTTGGGTTGGACTAGATGAGCTTTGAAGGTCCAACCCAAACTGTTCTGTAATTCTATGACTTGGGAGCTGACTGCTGAACAGGCTGTGATCAAGAGGCACAGAACACACAGGAAAGTGTGTTACAGTGCAGGTGAGGGTGGATTACATGCTGACAGACCTCTGACAGACACTTCTCTTTCCCAGTCTGTCCCTTCAGATACAAACAAAAGTAATTCCTCTGCATATCTGCTCAGTGCTTGCTGAAGAAAATTTCAGTGAGAACTGAAATCTCAGTTCCAAAAGCTTTTAGGAAACAGATTTTATCCCTGCAGTTAGCCAGACTGCTTCAGTAGAGAGATCCTCTTTTGAGCAGAAGATTTTTATAACATCTAAAACGTGGCACTGACATAAAAAAGATGTAAGTTCTGTAGTGTACTGTTAGATTCTGTTATAAAGCAGCCTAACGAAGATAATGTGTCTTTTTCAACTGTCATGCAGTAATACCTTACTAATTTAATTTCACTATGGTTTACCAGTTCATTTTATAGATTTGGCAGGATGTGAGGATCATAAATCTTGTATGAACAGTTATTTCTTCTCATGCTTATAAGTGCAACTTACCTCATAAGTCTGGTGCTCCTTACGTTTTTCCACCTGACTTCCACGGTATGTTTTCACAGCAAACAGGGAAGGCATTTGTGTAGCCACAACTTTGTCAATTTTACCTTAGTAAGGATAAAGACAACTGGCGTTAGTGGAGATTAACAGCCAGACCCCTCCCTAAGATGCTTAGCAAGTGGATGCACGTATTTCGAAACCTTCTTGTCACATTTCTGTTGTTACGGACACCCTGCTAACTAAGGTGAAGTGAGTGGAGCAGCCATCTCCACTCAAACTGCATCACGTTTTCATTTACTGTGTGAACACAAAGTGAAATACAGAGGTTTTTTCTTGCATTGTAATTGCATCCTTCTGTGCAATACTTGCCCTCTCTGGGGCAAACATCTGCCTCAATGCATCGTAAACAGGGCAGCATGAGACAGACTGGCTAATAAGTGGAGTGATTCCATTGAGAATGATAAAAAAAAATTCTTTTATTAGCCAGTTCTTTCTCATGCTGGTCTGTTTATGATGGATCAAATAAAAGGTTAATTTTATTACTGGAACTGATGTCTCTGTGTGTGTCGATATAGGATTGTTCTGTGATAGACCATTCTTCCATGTGGATGGGGAGAACATGGAATTTGAGCAATGATTCAGACTGGTGGAGGGTGATGAGCAAACCTATATAAAAAGATGCAGTCACTGAGCGATAGCTTGATAGGTTGCAATGATAAGACACCAAAAAGGAGAGAAAACATTTCTCCCTTATTTCAGTGACAGCAAGTTTGAAGGAGTTATATTTTGGTAAGTCTGCTGTGGCCATCCTGTTATTTTCTGTAGAGCACAAATTGGAACAGAAGTGTCATGTTTCCAATATTCAGAAGTAAGACCAGCCATTCAGATAGTCATGTGGAAAGGATTATGCAGTATTTCAGAGGACTAAGAGAAAAGCTGCCCATATATCAAGGAAGGAAGTGAGCCTCCAGGCTCCTTTTTTCTACAGCTCTTGCTTTTCATTTCATGGAGTGTCATAGGCAGAAGCTCAGAGAAAGTCATGGGGACTGCTAGAAAAGCATTCTTTCGTGAGTGTTTTGTGCTAGGAAAACAGCTCTCACAGCCTTAAAATTGGGAGTCTTAGATATTTGAGTAATTTCCTATGAAATAATTGTTAGAGTAATTCCCTGATACATATAAACATGTAAAAATATATAAGAATAGAGCTATATTTTAACACCACTGAAAAACAATTTAAAGATACTGTAGTTTCTTTTATAAACTTTTACCTGCCTTTTTTTTTAACTGTTATATGGGTGTGTATGCATGTTAATATTTTCTGAATACAAAACCCCAAGAAGATAAAGATACCTTTAGAATTTAGGTTCCAAGTCAGATGTTTTTTAAAAAATAAAGGTTTCCTTTTACTATCTTTGAGCTATGTAGACATACTTCTGGATTTTTAATGTTTTAGGTATTGGGGAACTTTATGCTTGCAACTGTTTTGTTTACCTTTTTTAAAACATAGGGAAATCTAATTACATTGTAATTATAAACATGTATTTCTATGATTTATACTACTCATTTGCAATTAAAAGAAAGAAAATGCCTTTTTGTCCCTCAGGAGATGGTAGTTTATAGGCATCTTAGTCTTTGCTTCTTCATTCTGTGCGCTAAGTAAAAGCTGCTGTCTATTTATAGATGAGTGAATGTGTTGACACAAGGTGATGCAGAGCTTCACCTAACGCCCAATCAAAAAGTGTCTGATGATGGCCCATCAGTGGAAATACTGACACATTTTTACCTTAAACTGGGTTATTTGGTCTCATGGATCTATTTTAATGGAGAATTGATGGCCTTGTCAGCTGCTGTTGTTACCGTGTTTGCATTGGCCACAGTACTGAATGTCTGTGGGAACAAGTAAAGGGAATTTGTTGAGAGTAGCAGCTTGCTCTTAATGTTCATTGGAGAATACTCTTCGTACTTTATTTCTGGAGATGATAATGTATTTCATTCCTTTTCAGATTTAAGGATATTTTCCTCTAGCATATAAAGACCTGTTCTTGAGAACTGCAGAGTGGCTTATAGGGATGCTATAACTTCTATCCCCAGATAAAGTGAGGATAGAATATTAATTTAGTGAATGTGAAAAAGTTCTTCCCTTTTATTGTGAGATCCTTTCAAATACATCACCTTCGTTTAGGATATAATGTAAAAATGTGCAAAAAATGCAACAGTTTATTTAGAATACAGGGTATTGTTCATCACAGGCTGAACTTCTCCTTAGGAAAATAACTTGCATTCTCAGAGGTTGCTTTTCTGGCTCATTTGCTGTTTTCTTTTTCTTCTTGCACAGCTGAAGGGAGCAGCTATTATAACAGAACCAGCATCAGTAATGTCATAGCTTTTTAAACAAATAAATCAGCCTGCAATAAGAGACACAACTTGTAGTGTTTGTGGGAATTTGTTTATCATCTAGCACTTCTGTAGCTGATCCTAATCATGGCTATTTTTGTTTGCTTTGATATAGGTAGATATTACATGGATTTCAGGGGGAGATTAAGACATCTAAATTTAGGTGGTTTATGTGGGCTTTTAAAAGTAGGTGGGTTATGTCTGTAAACATTCTAGTCAGCAGAGATACAGCCACACTTAATCAATGGAGTTCAGAGAGCAATTCAGGTCACCATCTGTTGAGTATCTACCTTAAGGCAAGCAGAATTACTGTAGAAGTTTGACCATTCTGATTAGGGCCGTACTTCAGTTACCCAAACATAGGTATCTAATGCCATTTTTGATAACCTAATGTACTCACCTTGCCTCCAGATACTGCTTTAGAAAAGTACAGTTCTACAAATTTTAAACAACATCTTCCAGTCCTGTCCAGGTGTTTTTAGGATATCCCAGAAGGAACCAGATGCACATTTTTACAGCTGAATTCAAACAGTGATCTCTATTGACTATAATGGAAGCATAGGCACAAGTAATTTTCATCTGCCTGTAGGTGCATATAACTGAAAACGGTTGCCTGAAGTGCTGCTAAAATCAGTGCAGAGTTACTTAGTACTCTCGGAATATATAGAATCTGTAAGATAAATATTTTTAATACATACATATTTCTTTTAAAAGAATTGAAAGATACTTGAGTCTAATGCTGTTGCAGATTATCAATTGCAGTGCTGAGAGGTGGGCCACTTCCAGGAGTATACAGGCTGCGTCAACTTCATTTTCACTGGGGTTCATCTGATGACCATGGCTCTGAGCATGTTGTGAATGGAGTGAGATATGCAGGAGAGGTAAGACTCACCACTTTTTTCCTTTAAAATAGGGTGTAGAATAACATTTGTCATTAGTGTTCAGGTGGGATGAAATTTGTTATTTGTGTGCTTTTCAAGGAGTTCTTTCTGTTTGTTTCTGTATTTCTGTCTATTCTTACTCCCATCAAGTCTTATAAATGTGAGTCAGGTTGAAGTAATTCTCACAGTGTACAAAAAGAAAAATACTAATGTGAAACGGAAGTTTCCATGTTCTCAAACCAACATGAATCAAAACTTAGGACAGCAAGACTGTATTACTGAGAAGCTATGCAAATTACTAAACAGTATTCTGAAAGTATAGTAGTATAGCAGAAAATACCAACAGAAAGGAGGAAGAATGTGTTGCTTTAATTTTCTGCCACTTGAAGATAGTAAGGGAGGATGAGAACTGTAGACTAATAATATACAGATCTTACATTCATATGGATTCTTTGCTAGAATTACTGTCATTTGAAAGCCAAATGGAAATTAATCACATACCAGTAGATGACTTCTGAACTGCATTTTCTGCCTGCTTAAGTATCTTTTCTGTGTTCTTCATCTTTAAGATGAGATTTCTGTTCTCTTTTGCAATTGATGTATTAAGATGTTTATAGTTTATTTTAAAGCAAATCGTAGTCTAAGTTTAAATATATAACTCATATATGGATTGCTGTCTCTTTTTTCTTTCTTTCTTTTTTTTTTTTTGTTTTTTGAAGACCTAATCCTCATTCTTTGTGGCCACAGGTGTTCTAACATATGTGATGAACTCTGAATTCAGGCTCTGATGGCTTGCTATTCAATAATGGATTTTTTTTTTCACTCTTTTCTTTGCTTCCAGCTACATTTGTTACACTGGAATCCTAAATACAGTAATTACCTTGATGCTGTGAGAAGAACTGATGGAATAGCTGCTTTGGCTATATTTTTGCAAGTAAGTAGAAGCATGCAACACTTCTTTGTACTGCTATTATAGAGTTTTCTATTCTTACGGGCTTAAAAAAGCAAAACCCTCTGAATGTTTTCTAGAGATCGAACCACACTGAAGGACTTGACTTTCAGTAATGCATGCTTTTCAAGTTATAGAGCATGAGTCATGTTATTTCAAAGGGTATTCAGTACTACACACACTTGTCCCAGCAGTTATTGTGTCACTATGTGAGTGGTGGAAGCTGTAAACCCAGATGTATTTGCCCCTGCTTTGGGGACACAATGTCAGTAGTGGCGCTCTGACCAGTGGCAGTCAGCTGTCTCTATGCTAATCATGGTCTGATTTCAAGGACAGATACTGCTGCTAGGGTTTTCAGGCAGTTTCTCACAGGGAAAATTAACTCGGAGACAATACCTGTATCTCATTCTTTTTTAAAGTCTTTGGGGACATGCAGTCTTAACCTGAAACATTGGCCTTTGCTCTCTCTTGTTCTTGATATTCACTAGAGATAGAAAGATGGATGTCTGTGTTGAGATCAGCAATTGCAAGCAGCAGATCTGACTGTGAAATCTGTTTTTTAAACCAAACTAAAACTTATTCCAATTTCTGTACTTGGGTCTGAAGAGTTAGTTATCTTCGTTAGGCTAAAATTTAATGTCAACAGGAATTGCTGTATTGTGAAATTACCCAAGATGCTGAGTTTCTGTAGTGATATAATTTCTTCATTTGGATCATAATATCTGTTGGGGTATAGACAAAGGGTACAGGCAGAAGACATAGCTTATTAGGCTGTCAGGGGTGATAGGTGTGGTTGATGCATTTTAATTTTGTAGTTGATTCATGTTTAGATGAATATAAAACAGTAGGAGTAAGAAGAAAAGTGATTGAGCAGAACTCTGGTTAGCTCATGTTTTTTCTTCACAGGTAGGGGAAACTCCAAAACCAGAAATGAAGAGAATTCTTGAAGAAATAAATGCTATCAAAACGAAGGTAACCATATTGGGCTTCTTACTATAGCTGCAAATCCTCAGGACAAAAAAAATCAAGAGTCGTAACTTTCTAGTTTTCAAATTCTGCCCTGCAACATTGCCATAATATACTTGTGGATAAAACCATGGGTAGCTCTTCCTTAACAAGAAATGTCCTTTCTTCCATTTACATATAAGCCTTCTTTGTCTTTAGTGTGCCTCATGATTTTGTGAAAATGAGAGTCATCTCACCAAATTTTACACCTGAAAAGTAGGCGTGGAGTCTTACTCCCTCAGTGGTCAGTGACAAAAGAAAGGCACCTTTGGAAATAGGCTGCCTAATGGACCTTTGGAAATGCTGCTGACTGGACATCTGTGTTTCAGATAACATTGTGTGATAAGAATCTCACATTTCATAGGCTGCTTTGTTTGTTATCAGCATAAATATTATAAATCTGGTCTACCTGTCTTACTTCATTATGTGGTGACATAACCCAATGCTCAATAGATAGGCAGAATTTCCATAAGAAAGGAGGCCCGAAGGAAGAGTATTTCTGCACAGAAATGACCGAAGCACATCTGTACTGGACGCTGCTTCACATGAGTTAGCTCAGGTACAAGAAGTACCATTATGAAGTTGTATGCTGTTCCATGCTTCTCTGGGCCCATCTGTGAGGGTCATTCAGTCCACTTATCTTTACACTGCATCACCATGTCTTGTGTAGATGTGTGCTTAGTTTCCTTAGTTCATACCTTTGAAGTATCTGAGTCACTCCCTGTTTTGTAAAATACCAGAGCTGCATCTTTACTAATCTTGACTAGAACTGTTGAAGACTTTTCTGTTTGGTTTTGTCATGTTTGTTTGGTTTTTTGTTTTTTAAAGGGGAAAGAAGCTCCTTTTCCAAATTTCGATCCGTCAATTCTTTTCCCTAAATCTCATGACTACTGGACATACCATGGGTCTTTCACTACTCCACCTTGCGAAGAGTGTATCACCTGGATTATTCTTAGAGACCCTATTATAGTCAGCTCAGACCAGGTAAATTTCAAGTAGATAATATTTTACTCACTTCTTTTTAGTTACATGCCATACCCTGATCTTAGTCTTTTGACAAGGAAAATACCCACTGACTTCTGTGAGAAATTTTATGATTAAAGAGGCAGAACTGAATGCTTTAGAAACTACCTTGGGACTCCATAGGGAACCTCTAAAAATCTTCAAAGGACTGCAGGCTACAACCTAGTGTGTGCTATCAACCTATTAGACATACCTCTTTGTGTGTTTCTGTGACTCCTACATTAATTAGTTGAGCAGAGATGGTGACCTTCTTTACTTGGAATATCTCATTATTTCCTAGCCCATATCAGGCATTATGGTGGTTCACATTCACACACATCAAAGAGCTTTAAAAATCAGTAAAATCGTAACACAGTGTAGATGGTAAGAGTTTATAGCAGTCTGGAGTATGACTGACAGCAAGCAGTAATTACTACATGAGAGGTCTTGCTCCTGTGGCCAAGAGACCTTTTGCAACATAAACTAAAGAAAAGAGTAGTTCCCTCTTTGTTTCCCAGTCCCTGTGTTCCCACAATACTAACTTTTGCAAGTAGGAAACAAGCTGGATGAGCTAGTTGTGGCTCATACCTTGTATTTTACACAGAGCTCAAAACACTGCATTACACTAAAAGCCAATGTACTAAGGCTCAAACCGTTAACTTGCATTCTCCTGCAACCATTTGAATCAGAACACTGACGCATTTTAGCTAAAGCTTATGCGTCTTTGATAATGCAGGATATTTTTCAACCATTTATATTGTTTCAAGCATCCTCATGTAAAGTGTTCATTGCTTACCATGGTCAATGTTTGAGGGTAGTCGCTAGGCAAACTATGAAATAAAGCTGCTGTGAAAAAGCGACCATCTGCAATGAAATGCAGTGGGACAGCTGCGTACACTGAATGAAGCAGGCATCCGGTGTTCTCACCTGATGCAGCAGAGCATCTCCAAGTCTGAACATTCTACTTTGCAAATGTGTCTCTTACAGCTTGCTTCTTTCAAAAATGTCTTCTATCAGAATACAAATTTAATGGAGTGGGTGATTCTCTCTGCCACATATTCCAGATGGCATCATGTAGCCAAGAAAATTATGGAAGAGCTGTATCAGGTGCTCGCTACCCATGTTTCTGGAAGGTATACCAGCTAAATTTTCACAAACAGGAGCAGCATCAGATAACCATAAATTCTTGTTAATTTGAAAGCTTTCTCTGGTCACTTATGATAAAGAAGTATTTCTTGTTAGTCCCCATTCCCCCTCAAAACACATTTATAGAAATTTGAAGGTCTAGTCCTCATTCTTTGTTGCCCCAAATGCAACATTACACTTCAGCCAATGATTCTACTCATGCCACACAAGTTAGTTTTCTTACCTGAGGTTATTCCTCTGCTCAGCAGACTATAATGATATGATATCACAAATTTCAAGACCCTAGGATAGTGAAAACACGAACATTAATCAAGTAACTGACATATTATGTAGATATTATATGTAGACACAATTTTTCATTTTAGGTTCTAAAGGTGATAAGCTATTTAATTGTATTGAACAATGTGTGTTCACACACACACCCCCTATTTTCTGGTACTTTGTATTTATGTAGCTCTTTACCTGTTAAAGAAGAGAACTCAGGTGTGATAGAAACCTCAGTTGGCAAGAGGGGAAATACTGTAATGTATTCATATAACTTACAGCTTAATTTTCACAGCTTATTGAATTGATCTGCCTCCTGTTTCTGTGCCCTGAAAATTAAAGTATGTGGGCTATTTTGAAGCTGGTACTTGTCCAAAAAATACAAATATGATCTGACTGGTTTCCACAACATAAGTCTGCTTAGAGGTTTATATTACAGAAGATCAGCTACAGATTTTGCTGGCAAAAGTCAAGTCATTACTGAGTGTCTCTGATTTAAAATGTGTTTTTTTTTAAAGAGTAACTAATCACACTATTGATCCAGCTTCATGAAAAGACTTTTTGATCACTGCTGTATTTGGGTCATGACCTTTCTTCTGCTTATCTAAAGTTTTGGGAAACATACAGACTGTTTTCTAACTGGCCCTACTGTAGAAAAAATGGAGCATTTAAGGTAAAAAAAAGATTATTACATATGGATGGGACATTGGCTCTTATCCTGAGATAATCGTTCTTCAGGCACAGTTGGCAGTATATGTGCAGTACTGTGCACAAATACAATAGAAAGACTTTCCTCACTCGAGAGTGCCTGCAGTCTAAATAATGTATTCATAAAAGAGGATTGTGTTACCAATTACTTCTAATCCTAGAAAGTGTACTACCAGGCAGCCTCATTAATAGTAATTATTTTAAGTGCACGTGCATTTACAGTGGATTGCTGTGATGCTTTTGCAGGCAGACGGTAACAATATAATAGCCACAAGGATAAGTGCAGTAACTGTGAATCAGTACTCTGCAGGAAAAATCAATTCACCAGGAATCCCTTTGAGATGCAGAGTGGGTGGCCTAGCTGCTCAGATTACTCTTAATGAAAGGAAAGGGATTTACCTGTGGAGTAACTATCCAGTTGCAGACTAATTTTTTCACCTTTATGTAGCTATAGTCTGAATATATGCCTTTTTTTTTTTTTTTTTTTTTTTTACCAAGTAGGGCAGATCTTCCACAAATAATAAGAAAAAACGCAACTTCTGAATAGCACTCTATCAGTATTAACAAAATTGATCAACTGTTTTCATCTTCTACTATTCCCATACAAATTATTCTTTATCTAAAATCTGAAATTTCATTTCAGATTAATAATCCAGTTGATGCATATTATACTGATCAGAAATGTGGCCTCACCATTGTTTAGGCAAACAGATCGCTGTCTTTTCTGAGCTGTGTAGTGAAGAGCAATGTTGAGATGCCTGAGCTGGCGCAGCCCATAAACTAGAATTAGTATAGGCACAGTGAACCCGGCTTTTACAGCCCAGATAAAAGTTCTGCTTCCGCTGGACTTGAACTCTGTAGCATAAAAGATAGATACATCAGTGTATTGAAGCTAGTGGCAAACAAAGTTGATGTGTGCAATGCATGGGGCTATGTTTTCAAGCACACACATGGGAAAATGTGTGCATGCTTTTAATGGTAAGCCATTAGACAGGGAAGTGTCAAGGGTCTGAATCACTGCTGACACACCATCTAATGTTGTTCATGGCAGTGACAACAAATGAACATAGGGTATCTGTGAGTGGGCATATGTGCTGCATCCTTTGAAAATCAGAAAGTAGCACTGGAAGAGCATTATACAGCTTTGAAGAGTATAGGCAGAAGTCTTCCAAAAAAACACATACCTTGGTTAAAAAAATGGCCAAGGAGAGTCAAGCTTCAGACCCTGTTTATAAACCATTTGAAACCAAGTCATTATCCAGATTTACATTTCTGTTATCAATAGTGGACTTTTTTGTGTCGCTACAGTATATCCTTTGCTGCAGACCCACCATCGAAGTGAAGAATTAGTTTATAATTCAGCCACAATGCTTTGCAATTCCAGAGGCTTCTTAACAGACACTAAAGCATTAGGAAGGGTTTATTAGGACATAGACTGTTCTATTTGCATTATCTGAGGACTTCCTGCAGTTTCTGTGGCTCTACAGATTTCTGTAGACAGTACATAAATGACAGTATTTTTCACAATCCTGTTCAGATGGGACCCGTTTTTCTGTCTTGAGTATTTCTAAGAATGTCACTGCTAGGAAAAGAACATGAGTACTGTTCTTGTGGTGATGGGGTGAAGGACATCTTCACAACTTTGAAGTCTCCTAGGCTTAATTGTTGGTCTGTGGATTTGATCCCAAGGGCATGAGGACACTTTGATTTCTGCTCTCCTGCAGATGGCGAAGCTCCGCAGCCTATCCAAGAATGCTGAGAATGAACCTAATCTTCCCCTGGTTGATAACTGGCGCCCGACGCAGCCTCGGTATTTCAGGATGGTGAGCGCATCATTCCTCTAGGACCTGGCTCAGGTTGGGTGTGCCATCTAGGGGACACCTAGAACTAAGAGATGGTTTTGATTTGTGTCCTCTGTTGCATTTAGACAGAACTACATCTGTAGGTCTGGAGACTGAAACTTTGAGTCATGAAATGTGAATTTCACTTTCAGAGGATAACATTTACTTAAGACAGATCCTATAATTAAAAAGGAAGTAGAGAATCTGTTTGGCTCTTCATAACTGCTATAACATAACTTTCATTGATAGTACAAAGGAAGAAAGAACATGCTACTAACAATTACAAAACCGTTTCCTTTTGCCCACATGTCTCTTGATGCTTGCCTTATTCCATGCTAAACAGATTGGAGTTAAGAGAATTGTTTTCAGCATAAACCCATGTTCTTCAGTAGCTGTTTTCTGCATTACCCATAACCTGCTTTGAGCTGCACCAGTTAATACATAAGGCATTCTTGTAAGTAAAGGAGAGCACTCTTTTGGTACTTTATACTCACATAAAATATGAAAGGATAGAAAATTGCTTTATAACCATTGATAAAGAACTAAGCTTTTAACTTTTTTAAACTATGGACAGGTGAAACAGAGGTCTGTTCTTAAAACTGTATTCAGAGAGTTATATGTAGTTAAAACTGTGGAAGGGGGAAGAGCTCTTTCCATTCATATCACAACTGTTTGTCCATATTAAAAGACTAATTTGCATTTTCAAGTTGTAACAATCAAAGTGACATGGATTTTGAGAACTTGGTCTTTGTATTCCGAATATATATTTTCTTTATGTATGCAAGTGGTTTTTCTGTGTAAAAAAGGGTGTTCAGATAGAAAGAGTTCTTAATCTTTTTCTGGGTTGTTTTGGTTTTTTTTGAGTCAGATTCTCACTTTATTTGCAAATATAATTGGTCCTGCTGTCAGTGAGATCTGCACGTAAGTGTCTGAAAACATAGTTTGACTCTCCTGATGAAAATGCAGTTGACCAGGGTGTTCTTGCCTCTTGTTTTGACATAAAGAACAATGAAAGAGGATTGTAAGCCTATACTTGAAATAACGGTGTTTCTGCATTAAAAAATTTAACAATAATACATTTTTGTTCTGTATGGTTTTTTTTTTAATTTTAGAAACATGTAAAAATAATGACGTTTCAAAGAAAGACTTGTCAATGTTATCTGTAATACATCTTCATGAAAATCAATGATGGTTGGTATCTTTTTCAGATGTTTGTTTGAACTACAAGAGTACTGATAATACTTCATGTGACTGAAAGCAAGGAAAGGAAATAGCATCTTAAATATGCTACATCATTGAGACATCCACATCTATTCTTTTAGTGAGATGACCCTATTCTGACAACGGCTTTCTTGTAATGTAATATGAATCAACTCCTTCGCAAGTTGATTGCACAGTGGATAAGTTCAGTCTGTATCTAAAACTGGTAGTCTGAACAGTAATTTACATTGAGCTCTGGAAATACAAAGCAGCTGCCATGTTCTAGGACAAGAGGATGCTGCTGAGCTAGGTGATGAGACAGGGGTTATGCTCCCTGTCTTCAGGTTCCCCACCATGAAAGTTTCTGGACCGTGTCCTCACATTGCTTTCTTCTTTCAGATAGGTAGTGTTTTGGCTGGGAAATTTCATTTAGTCCTTGTTAGTATTTCCCATCCAATTTCCCAAATGGATTGCATTGTGCTGTTCATGTTTGCACTTCTCATTTGTAGCCATATTGAGAAATGATTCAGATGAGTTAATATCTGTTTACGTTGCATGCACATATTGCTGACTGACACAGGTTGTCTTACATGCACATACTTCTTTCTAGTCAGATAGATGACTTACACTAATAAAGCCTGTGCTGGTCCCTATGTTTGAAAACATACATTTTTATTTGAATACTTTATTAAAAGTAATTTCTTCCCGGCCGGGTTGTTCCAGGAGAGTTCAAAGCTTTGTATTTGACCACCAGTACCCAACACAGTATTAGATGTAGGGATAAGAACATGCTGCTCAGTTGTGCTTTATACTTCAGAGGAGGGCTTAATTCATAAAGATTTCTTTTTCCAATAAACTTCTATGTAAATATCCAACAGAACATCAGGAAGTATTCTGTGTGTGGTAACTGATGTTATTCTGAATAGGAATGCAAGTCACAGAACATCACGGTCCATGCAGGGTTCTCATAGAATACCGTGGGCTTCCTGCCTTCAGGTGAAAATGGCAATTTCCTGATGTGTGAACATAAGAGAAAACAAAATGACAAAACACCTTTCTACTTGTTTTTCTCCAGTCAATTCTGCAGTACGTATCTGTTTGCTTATGTGTTGCCTCATTAGAAAAAGGAATTTTGAGGCAAAAATTATTTTCCTTGCAATTTATGATATTGCAAATCTGGAACATGTAATCCAAATGGTTTATGTAGTGATATGATGGTTTCCCAGTTCCACTTCACAAAGGAGCTGTCTGGGTGCTGTAACTGAAGCTGAGGTAAGCCTCGTTCTCTAAAGCCATGTTTATTAAATTTTAAGCTTAAAGCCAAACTAGTTTTTTTAAAGAGTGTCATTTGACTTTTAATGCAGTTGGTTTCATAATATCTATATTTATAATTAGTAAAAGGTAGACTAAGCTAGGCTCAGGACTGGGTTGACTCAGTTGCAGATAGGAGAAAGTGTGTGAATATGTGGTTTGGCAGCGGTTTTCCAGTGTTGAAAGGACTGTCTGAAGTAATGATGACAGATTGAGGAAACAGTGCTTCAGCAGGCATTGGAAAAAATTGGAAAGTGTAGGAGTAGAATGAAAACAAAAAGCCAAAGAATAGGGGGCACTTCAGGGGCACTCTACATTGAGCTGTAAGCTTTAAGTATGAGAAGATGAGGGAGAGTGTTGAAGGCAGCAAGGGAGGAAATGTGGGGTGCTGTGAGTCAGCATTTAGAATGCTTTCATGTCTGATGCAATTTTCATTTCTCTCTGGCTGTGTTCATTGTTATTTTACAATGGTTCCCCCTTGCTTTTAGCTTGAAGCTTTCTGTAAGAACAAGAAAAATTAATCACTGGTACGACTGAATACAGGTCACTGTAGTAATAACATCCCACTCAGCTCACTTCTTACCCTCACGTTTCCACCATGCAGTGCAGTCCTATGCACCACAAGAGCATAGGACCACAAGGGAAGACATCAAATTTTCATCTGGGTGGGGTATAAAACAAGGAGTTACTACTATATTTGGCTTTACATACCATATATGCCTGACGATACTTGGTGATATCAGTGCTGATTAGGAACAGTCCTTCTGAAACAGACACAGGGGAAGTTTAGATTAGATATATGAAGTTCTTTAGTGTGAGGGTGGTGAGGCACTGGAATGGGTTGCTCAAGGAAGTCGTGAATGCTCCAACCCTGGCCGTGTTCAAAGGCCAGGTTGGACAGAGCCTTGGGTGACATGGTTTAGTGTGTGGTGTCCCTGCTCATGGCAGGGGGGTTGGAACTGTATGACCTTAAGGTCCTTTCCAACCCTAACTATGCTGTGATTCTATTCAGACATGAGACATGCAGCCACATTGCACAGCTTGTTGGCAGCCTTTTCTCTCCAAGTTTCTTTTTATCTGCTACAGACATCAAAATAATTTGACTTGGCCTAGCTCCGTGGTGCTGTGAGCCTTCCTGAGACTTGAAGCACTTTAAAGGGATGGCTGAACTTGTGTATGCATCAGTGGCAGTCTTCAACATGACAAGAAGGTGTGTGTGGAATAAAATCACAGCTGCCGTAGCACTCTGACATGATTATGCTCATCAACAATGAAAAGGAATTACCATCAATTTTAGGTAATATCTGCCTGTCTAAACTTGGTCAGAATAAAAGATACCTATGGTAAACGCTTGAGAAGTCCATTTTCTCATGTTGCTTGTTGCAAACCATTTCTCTAGCCCCAGCGTCATGCTAATCATAGAAGCTATTCTTAGGTTACCTGTATACAGCTGGGCAGGAAATGATGAAGTGGATCAGCCTCACTTTACAGATGGCTCTGAGGCAGGCAAAAGGAGGTAGATGTAGATAGCAATCTAAAATTTTATATAAAAGTAGATGTGGATTTTACTGGGGATTTTAGTAAAAATCTTTCAGGTGATAGATCTTTTGAAGAATTTAGACTCATCAGATCTTCTTTAGATCAGGATTACATTTGATAAAATAAATTTCATTTATTCTATAGCCAAACTTATGCCTTGGAAATTTCACCAGTCATCTATACAAAAAAGGGTAGATCTTTAGACCCCTTCTTTTATATTGAATAAGACAGTATTCTGAAAACTCTGTGCATGGCTGTTAAGACCGTAAGAAGAATTCTGAATTTTGTGAATTCTGAAGTTTCAGATTTAATGAAAAAAAACCACAAAAAACCCAAAACTAGTTCAAAGTTCTCCTCATGGTGAAGGACTTTTGAAAATTTAGACAAATACAACTATACAGTAATGTCTGAAGCAGTGCTGCAGAATATGTCTTGCTAACTTCACTCCCAGAATTCTGGGTTTTGTGGTGTTTTGCTGAAAGGAGAAGTTTTCTATTCTGTCATTTCATCAGAGCATAGTCCTTACAGCTACATTTAGGCTGCCATGCGTTTTTCTGCTCCTCGTAATAAAGCATCCTGTGGGGAATATGTGGGATCACAAGGAACGATTGACACAGACATTCTGTCATGTCCACTGGCCATACGGCAGTTCACTGGGTCTGAAATCTCTGGTCTGTCAGCTGGGGGAAGCCATCCCTCCAGAAGGGCATGCAGCTAATCCCTAGTCATGGTCATTAGAGGACTCATCATGTCTCTAATGGAACGTGCTGAAGGCTGCCTTGTTTTGGATAATGTGTCACTCCCTTGCCTCAAAGTCTTTTTTCCGTTGAATAGCCCTACACCTCTGTGGTTTTCTGTGTCTGTCTATATATGTATGTATGTATGTGTATATTTATGTATATCAATATATATACAAAGCACATACATGCTACGTAAATGCGTGTTCTGTTACT